CATTTTACCACTAAGAAATATTGTATGAAGACAAATAGAATAATCTTTTAGAAACACATAGAAAGAGCAATATAAGGCTTGGCACGGTAGCCTACTTGCTAAATCCTTAATTCACACGTGCCAGGATCCCATATGGGCTCTGGTTTGTGTCCCAGCAGCCTGGCTTCCCATCCAGCTCCCTGCTTGTGGCCTGGGAAAGCAGTCAAGGACGGCTCTAAAAGCTTTGGGACCCTGCACCCACAGGGGAGACCTGAAAGAAGCTCCTGGCTCCTGGCTTCAGATCAGCTCAGCCCTGGCCATTGTGGCCACTTGGGGCATGAATCAGCAGAGGATCTTGCTCTCTGTCTCTCCTCCTCTATATATATCTGACTTTCCAATAAAAATAAATGATCTTTTTTTTAAAAAGTGGAATCTAACAGTGATCTTGGGTTCCTTGTAAGAACCGATTGCCATTGGGAATCTGATGTTTAAATACCAGATGTTTGTAAAATATTGATGTTGAACTGAATTGATAAGTGACCCCCTAACCCCAATGCTTCCCATAACCATAAAGGCAGTCTTTATCATATCTCATGAAATCCTGGTTTTCATTTATTTCTCCTTAAAGGGCCTCTTGGAGAGTATTTGCATTGTTAGCAGGTTAAATTGACCACAGAAATGACAACTAAATAATTTAGAAAATTGTAAGATGACTTAAGCTTTTAAAATGTGCATAAGGTAATTAAAACCAAACTTCATGAAGGCAAAGGCCACACTGTAGTTAGTTATTCTACAGCTAGGGTCACTGCCTAAGTTGTATGAAGGTGTACGTCCCATTTATGGCTGCAGTAGAAACATGGGATATTAGGATTCTTCATTTGCTGTGGTTATCTCTAGAGGATGCAACTGTCTATATTAAACATGATCATGGGGGCTCTTTTGTGGCAGATAATAAAAGCATAAAATAGTACATTTCATATGCATGGATAATAGGCTGTGCCTTTCTCTCAGTAGGGCCTGGAACTGTTAGTTGCTGTCATGGAAATGTTCATTAGTCACCAAACAATGAAACTAATTCCTTTGATCTCATTAAATTGATCATCATTTTTTCAAATACATGGTTTTTATAATGGTGTTTTTGGTAGATTATTCATTTGAAGAGCCATTGTGCACATTTTTCCCCTAATCTGCAAAAGGAAAGCAAAATACAGCTTGTAAATTTTTCCTCTAAGAAAGTAGTTTTTTTTTTCTTTTCCCTTTTTTCATCTTAAAGTTAAAAATGAATGGGATAAAATTTCAGTCTTTTTTCTTTATGTTGATGTACTTAAAAATACTAGTATGCCTTGTTGGGATAAAGTTAAAGAAATCGTTATAATATCATGTTGTGGTATAGGCTGATGTTCACTAATAGAATCATCTATTTGTCAGTGAAAACATTTGTTCCTCCTATTATCAGTCTTATCAACTTGCAGAACCACAGTGTGAATGTCTATAACCATGGCCCTATTATTTGCTCATACAAAAACAATAAATATTTTTAAAATATTCATGAAACAAAAATACTTGATTTTCAGTGAAAAAAAAAAGTCAAAAAAGGAGCACTTTCAAGTCTGTACTGTTAGTAGATGCATTTACCAACATTTCAGCTTGGTACCTGCTTCCCACTGCTTTTCCTCAGAACATCGTCCCTCACACTCGTGTAGGATATCAAAACCTGAACTTTGCCCTTTTGTGGTCATGCAACTTAAAACCGATCAATCACAAGTATTTCTTTACTGATGGGTTGAAAAGTTGTTGTTATCTAAGTTTGATCAGTAAGAGCCATATCTGGGACTGTTTCTAAGTTTGAATCTAGAGGAAAAAAGAGAGTTGGATTTTGGAATCGGAAAAAAGTATATTAGGAGCAAGCAACAGCCAACCAAATGATGCCAATCTGAGATGGAGTGAAATAAGTGTCTCAGAAAAAGCGAATTTTAATTGCTCCATTTTATGGTTCTGCTATTTTCTATTTTATTCTGCTGCTCCCTTATCTCTTAGACAAAATGTATACCTGTTGAAGATTTTGCTAATGTGGAAAAGGTAAATTTTCCTTTGTTGAGTAATCATAAGTCTTCAGTGAACAGACATTTAAATTTTTAGAACTGTGCGGCATTAAACCACGTCCATAAACTTGGTGAGACTTTGGAATCAACTTGTGATATTAAGCACGTTTTTCCCTCTCTGCTTTTCAAGTCAAATGCATTGGTCTACTCCCTCCTCTTGAAATCAGACTTTGCAGCATCCTGGCTTTCCTCCAGAGTCTTTCATTGTTTCACAAGCTATCCTTGTTTTCAATTCATTCTTCTTTATACACTTGTGTAAACTAGGTGGACCTGAATACTTAGGAAAAATCAAAAGCATTTGGTTGTTATTAAAGATAGACAACTCACACATGTGAGACATTAAAGAAACCTTACAGATGTTTGAGTAGCGTATTTTTTTTTCTGTTGTTGTTTGGTGCTGTGGGGTATCTAATCACATCTCATTCTACTTAACACTCTTGCTAATAAAACAAACACTGACAATATTTTTGTTTTCTTTTCCCAGTATTTTTATTGTTTTTATTTAATTGTAACATACTGTACACCATTCAGCCTTTTGGGAGGTAGGAGAGGAAGTGATTCTGTATCTGTTTGAGGACTCTCCTCAGATAAACACTCATACAGATGCACATGAACTTGATAGGCCAAGCCCCCCTGTCCCCCATGCTTCTTACAGAGACAGAGCGCCCAAGAAAGTCACTATTTTTTTTTTTTAAACCTAAAACAGTCAGGGCTGGAACTGCTTTTCTTTCAGTAGTTGCAAAGAGGACTAGAGTTAATTATAGCTCAATATTTAGCAGAGATGCCATTTTTAAATGCAGGAGATTCTTGCTAATCTGTATCAAACTATTCCTGTCATGATCTCCATCAGGGTGTTTGTGGGATGGTGGGTGTCAGGGGAAAGGCAAGGAGATGTTTTGTATTTTGAGCCTTTGCAAACTTCGAGACATTTTGCTAGAAGCTGTTTTGGTGTCTTGAGTCCTATAAAGAGGATTGTTTATACAAGGTCTCTTTGGTAATCTAAATGGTTATGTGAAATCAGAATCCAGTTTGTACCCTATTTGCTGTTACTGTGGTCATCTAATACTATATTTGTCTCGCCAAACATTTAATTTTGAGTGTGGGTGGTCCATGTTCATGTGTCAGGTACAATCATTATTTAAAAAAAAAAAAATGAAGAAAATATCTGGTTCTTCAGGAATGCATTTTACATTATAGCTCCCAGACTCAGTTACCATAAATATTAGCATACAATATTCCAACTACAATCATTAGGCATTTTTAGAATCCCATTTGTCAAAAAGCAAGTTGGAAGCAAATTACCATGAAATGCTACTTTAGCCATAAGCCAAAATACTGTGCCTCAAATACACTTCTTTTGAAGCAACCACTTTTTTAAGGAATGAGAAAAATATGAATTTTATGAGAAAATGTCTTAATAAAGCAATTTTTAAATAATAATAACAAGTTTACTGGGAGTGCTGATTAAGCGTTGACACAAATAAGTTATAAGAATCACAAACACCAACCTTTCTAGAAGTTAAAATTTTAGTAAAAAAAAAAAAAAAAGACACATGTGGTAAGCCTTTTCCTTGTACCAAAATACTGGGTCGAGACAATAAAAATTAAGCAAACTTTTCAAAACAAGAAATATAAAGATAAAACTGCAGCATCAATATAATCTTATAGTTATCACTTAAAGTATTTAGAACAAATAATATTTTTCTACATTTTTTAAAATCACTACAGACACTGCAAATAAGGCTTATGTATTTATTTAGTGGAATACAATGTGATGATGACCGATAAACTCTTACGCGCTGTTTTCTATACCTGCTCTAACAAAATGAATTTCAATATGATTACGTTATGAAACCTTCTAAAGCTCTTTAAATTTACAGAAAGTAAGTTTCATTTGGTTTTTAAAGACAGGATCATACAAGTTGAACAGGTTTTGGCATATGGTTACACACATGCCAGGATATATTTGTTCAGGTTAAGCCCCTGGGACAGCTGCACTTCATGCCAGATTTCCTAATGGTACCTTTGGGGAGACACATTATGTGAGATCCACACAGGTTTCTTATCTATGCATAAAACCTCTTCATCATGATGTATGGGAAGAGATCATCAGTAAATAATGAGGCTAGTCTATTAAAACATGCTTATCCATTACTTTTCCTTCTTTCAGTATATTCTTAGAGATTTACTAAATAGACTGAATGAGAAGGATTTGGCCTTCCACTCTGTTTCATTGAAAGGAAGCCTCTGGAGCAATATCTGTTTTTAAATGATGGTAGCCATCTCTCAGTCAAGCCATGTTTTTGTTTGGTTTATTGTTGATGGTTCTTGTTGCAGAAGTGCAAATCAAGTCCACTGATAGCACACAGGGCATTCATACGGCTTCCCTAATTTCATCTATTTTTCATGTATTTCCCAAGTTGTCAAAACACTTAGTCATGAACATGCATGTGGTGTGCTCAAGAGAAAGAAAAGGGTATATAGCAGAGGGTAGCTTCTGAGGATACTCTTTAACACCCCAAAAGATATTTAACATCCTATTAAATAAATAACTTAGAAAGAAATAGAAAGGGTTGAAAGCAGAATGCACAAGCATACCACACTATTTGTATTGTTAGAACAGTTTCAACTAACATGTTTATGCTTTTTAATTCTATCCAATTCTTCCATAGTGCCACACCCAAAGCTCCTTTGGCTGTGCATATGATATGGCCCACGTGCTTTCCAGAAAATGCTTGTATGTCTTTCTGCTCATTGAATCATTAGGCTTGAATGAGCAATGAGAGTCTTTGATATGAGTTCGTATTCCATAAATAACTTTCCCGAAGATCATTCTACAGATTGTTCCATGTCCTTTAAGTTCTATCTCAGAGGTTCAAAAACAAGAACAAAGCTTAACAACAACCAAAAAAAAAAAAAAAACCCCAGCCACAATATTGTTCGCTTGGGAGTAACTTTTATCCCATTTGATCTGCCTACTTCTTGATTATAAGGCATGACAAAGGACTAATTTAAAGAACATCATATGTCAGCAGTGAGTACAAAAAGCTTGAAAGGCTTCTTTTGGTTTATGTGAGCAAACATCTGCCATGTGTCTTTGCCTTTTGAGCTACTGTCTTCATGAAGAGTACCAACTATCCTTGGCAAAACAGCCTTTGGTTCTACCACATCCACAAACATTGCCTTCCTCTATGAGTGCACCACCATGGGAAGAAAGTGAGCTGAGGTGTTTTTCCTTCGTGTTTTCTGTCCTCTCCTTGGAGCTCCTTTTCCGTTCAGTGCGACATACATTTGTCTTCCATTGTGTTGCCAGTTAAAGGATGCATAGGTGTTGTAGCCATTTTCCTCTATCCTCTCCTTAAGCTTGCAGTCGTTGTTAAATTCTTTCTGCAAAGGAAACACATAATATTTTATCCCTGTGGTGATGTTGCTTGATTCCATTTGACATAAAGCATATAAAGGACTTCAAAGATTCTGGTCTTGTGGGTGCCAGTATCGTACACTCAGCAGCAGAAGAGGGAAACTCAGAACCATATGACTAGATAGCTAAAAATTAGGGATGTGATCCTTTCTTCCAACTGCCATTTTTTCAGTTTTGCTATTTATAATTATCCATCATTGGAATTGGGATTGATTTTGCTTTGAACTCTAAGGATGATTGAAAAGTATGGTCCTGCTTTGTGAATTTTCATATCAAATAAAGTGGGAAACATTACAAGTAGCAGTGCTCATGTTATATAAACCTGAAGGCTGTGAACCTGAGACCTCTTCCCTGCAGCCATAGCTCTTTGACTTGGTTCAAAGTGGTCAAATGGTTTTATGGAGAGCTGTTGGGACAAGGATAACCCTTTTTAGTCCATGAATCCAGCGTGTTGCTTTGGATGTGACAACAAACAAGAGACTCCTCACTGGTCCCGTGACTTTCACTTTGGAAATATCCCTTTCCACTCAAACTAAATCAGTTAAGACACCATGGGATTCAGCTCTTGCCCTCCCATTTTCAACTTTTCCACCTACACCAAAGGCATTATGGACATTTCTTTGACTAAAGTCTGTCTAAGCAATTTTTCTATGGGTCTTTGAAGTTTCTACTAGACTCCAAATTACTAAGTATAGGTGTGTTTACAAAGCTGTGTTTCTGTGCAATAAGTCATATTTTTTATTTTATTATAATTATCACTAGCTGCTGTATTTTATATTGATATTACCAGATTACTTTACCTTTTTTGGAATTTATTAATCATAAGTGCTTTTCTCCTAAGAATTAAATATAATACTTAAATGTTATATTTATTTACTTAACTCTCTAAAAGTAATAAATGCTACATTATTTAACATAAGAGCCCTAATCAAAACAAAACAGCTATGATAGAAATACATTTAAATATATATTATGGATTTATCAGTTTTCTACTCAAATTTATCTCTGTATTAAACTATGTGATATGTTTTTTACATAGGTAATTACAGTCATTTCAATACAGAGTGTGTAAATTATAGACCAATAGAGGATTAAAATTATTTCAGATAATTTAATATCTGAAGCAAAGCTGTGTTAGAAAAATAAGAATAACTAATTATTTTCCCTACCATAAATGAACTTAAAGAGCAGGGTCTCTTAAAATGAAAGACACTATATCAACCTCCTCATCTCTGGTGTATTGATACTTGGGCCATGATACATTCATCTAAAGGTAAATAAGAAGCCTATGAATCTATGTTGTATATTCTTTAATAAGAATGTAGTCTAGGGTCCATTCTATTTGTCTTGTTTTTACTTAATTCCATCAAACAGGAGAAAACTGAGAATGCAACAAATGCATTGTTCAGAAGGTGATCAACGAGTATAACAAAGAACTATGTTTTCCGAAAAAAAAAGGAAAACATTCAAGAAAGCGTAGACACAGAGCTGGTTTAATCAAGAATTCTGTTTTTCCACCTGACACTTGTAAGGGTGGAGGGTATCTTACAGAATCAATGAGCATTGTGATTAAAAGGAGTTACCATCTGGTACACAAAACTATATTAGGTATGTGCTTGTGAATTTTACGGATATACCCTTAGATGAAAAACTGATAATCCTATTCCACTTGGAAAGGGCATTCGAAAATTTTCATATAATTTGAATATGGCATAATTTTCACTATTCCTTATAGTAATGCAAAATCACAAAAATAGAAGTCGAGTACTTGTACTCTGAAGGATTTAGCTGCTAAAAGTGGTCATTAGGTTTGTGTATCCTACAATTCTATGCTCTGTTGCTCCAAGTGCTAAGCATAGAATGGGAGAAAAGGTTTCTCTCTTGGGAGAAAAGTCAACAATGAATACCTTAATGAGAGAAATAATTAGGATAGAGCCATTGCAAACTGTTACAATGACGGGATGTGACAGAAAGCATCTGGACATCGTCTTTAGATAAAGAAATGGACTGAGATAATTTACTAAGCTCAGAGCTCAGGAAGAACCATAAGCATGGTGCATGAGTTGTGTAGTGATAGAAGAAAAAAGTGGGGAATTGGGAGGAAAAGTGTTAAAAATTTTACCTCACTCTTCATGTGAGAGTTAATCTTTCCCTGAAGTGCAATTTTAAAAAGCTATTAATTTGAAAGACAGAGATGGAGAGACCCTGGGAAGACAGAATATAGGGAAGAGAGAGAGATAGAGGGTGAGCGCACTGATTTTTCAACTTCTCAAATGCCGGAAAAGGCATAGTCCAGGTTTTCCACAAGAGTGTCAGGAAGTCGATGCCTTGACCATTACAGTTGCCTACAAAGCAGACTGTGCATTAGAAAGAAGCTAGAGTTGGGAGCAGGAAATGAACTTAGCCACTCCAATAGAAGACATGGACATTTTAATCAATAAATTAAATGATTACTCCCAGATATTAAATAAGTACAATTTATCAATTAAAAGTGTTTTTACCCTTTACTTCAATGAAAATTATTTGTGTTCTTCAGTCTAAATTAGTGCTAGCTGGTCTTAGTTTTGAGACTATTTTCTTAAACATTTACATTTTAGTGGACACATAAATTGTATGTATGTATGTAATTATGAGGTATAATGTGACATTTCTATGTATGTATTCATTGTGAAATGATCAATGCAAAGTTAGCTTTATCTTAAAGCGTTAGTTTTTGGCTAAATTAGTAAGTGTCTTTTCAATGAATAAATCTATTCCTCTCTCCCAGTAATCCTAATATAATAAAAGTAATTATTATGTGAACTTCTAGAATTAATCACTTATGGCAGTCCATTGGGACCTGCAGAGAACATCTGGTTACCATAGCAAAGAAAGGAGGGCAGAACAAATTGGTCCAGTGCCCCAGCCAACTGTTGACAGCAAATATCTGGGCAAATGGAGACTCTGATGTGGACTGTGTCAGACAATAACCATTGGAAGGATTTTCTCATCCTTGGATTGGAAAAATCGATGGCATTTCAGAGCTATCAAAACCACTTGAGCAGAACCTTTAGAGCATGCTGCACACTGGGGACCCTGGAATAACATCGTGTGGCTGTTCTCTATCCTTGGTTACTAAGGCAGTTGGGAGACTGGGCGCAGCTTCTCCCCGTTAACTCCCCCCTTCACCCAGTTATAGGAAGCAGAAAAAAAATTTTTTTGAAACAATAGTCTTACCCACTTTCTTCTAATCCCCGACACTTATCACCCTAATCAACTATGCAAACCTCATGAAAAATAAAATTTAAAAAATAAAAAAGTAATCACTTTTTAAAATGGCTCATTGCTTTTTTAGATCCACTACTAGAATGATGCAGATTGGAGAAATTTTAGTGGAGAAAACCCACTAAAAGTAACATGATAAGAATAAAATGCAAGACCATTCTATGTTTAAACCAGTGGTTATCAACTTGTGGTTATTGAACCAACAATATCAGGAATTCTTATAATCATTTTAGAAGCACAAATTCTCAAATCCTATTACAAACTGAATCAGGAACTTGGGTATATGAAACTACGTTGTGTGTTTGAGAAAATATTTTAGATTTACATCATAATCAAAGATATAATGTTCCACTAAATAAAGAAGCAGTCTGAGGAAAAACAAGACCTCAATTTGGCAAAAATATAGGCAAGGGTTATAAACAATAATCAAATGGAAAGATCCTATTTTATGCACGTGCAGTAAATTTTAAAATAACCACAGATCATTAAAGCTATAGAAATGTATTGTTCTTAATTTGTTTTACAAAGATTTCAAATAAAGCTTGTAAAAGCACTATATTTGCAGGAAACACTTTACAACGTTGGTATAGGTGATGACTTCATGGATGAAACACCCATAGCGTAAGAAACAAAAGCAAAAGTAAGCTAATGGTATTCTACCAGATGCAGAAGCTTCAGTACATCCAAGGAAGTAATTAATAGTGAAGAGACACCCAACAGACAGAAGCATGATATTTGCAAGCTGCTTATTTCTCAAAGGATTAATATCCAGACTGTGTTAGCAACTGAACCAGTTCAGCAACAATAGCAAAAATGTTGAAGGCAGTTAAGAACTAGGCAGAGGGTTTCAACAGTGCTCAAAAGAAAAAAATACAAAAGGTGCCCACAATGATGGAAATTTGACTGTTTACGAAGAACTATACTGTAGTAATGATACATGGGAACTCAGTTGGGGTGAGGGGTGGGGAAGGGAATTGGGGGAGGGAGTGAAGGAAATCCCAGGGCCTGTGGAACTGTATCATAAAATGATAACAACAATAATAATAGAAATTAAAAAAAGAAGAAAAAATACAAATGGCTAACAAGCATATGAAACAATACTCAATGTCATATATCAGGGAGATGTAAACCAAAACCACCATGATATCACTTCCCGGCATCAGAATGGCTCAAATCCAAGACAAAGAACAAGAAATACTGTTGAAGAAGTAGAGAAAGAGGGATTCTTAAACAAGAATGTTGGTGGAATGTAAATTAGTGCAGCCACTGTGGAAAATAGTGTGTAACTTTCTTTCAAAAACAGAAATAAACTTGCCACATGATCCAGCAATCCCCTGACTGGGTATATACCCCCAAAGACATGGACACATTGTACCAAAGAGATACCTGCACCATCATGCTTATAGCAGCATAGTTCACAACAGCTGAAACTGGGAATGAACCAAGGTGTATTTCACTGGATGAATAAGTAAAGAAAACTTTAGTTCTGATGTCTCCTCTCAAGTCTCTAGAGCAATTAGCATGGGTTGAGGGTGGGTGGAGCTGGGTCACTACAACCATCCTAATATTAACCAACAACATAAGCTTATTTACACATTTGAAGTGAAATTTGTTTCACACTTAAAAAGTATTTGGAATTGAGGTCCATTTTCTTTCTTGTGTTTCTTTAATCTGTAAAACAATACCCAGTGTATTAATGTTCATATGATTGGTTGACATATTCTTAAAAACCTGAACAGGATAGATGGCTACATTGAAATTTACTTTTAGTCCTAAAATAATTATTTGCTTTTTAAAGTGAGAATTCAGCCAAATGAATCCAAATGAGTTTGATCCAAGTTTGTACAGGTGATATTCAGAATACTTAACACTTGACATAGAACAAAGTTATGAAAATTCTCAAACCATTGACTTAGTATCAATTTCAAAGGACTCTGTTGCAATGAATACTATATGTGTGTTTATGTCTGTACATGTGTGCGTATTCAGGCATAATTTGAATTAATGACTACTGTGGGTAAATAACATGCTAGAGTTGATTAAACAGCATACAAAATTATTATTAATTTCTTAAAATGTTCATTCATTTCAGAATTTAACGAAATACAATACATCTAAGCTCTGTTCTATCTTTAGCAGTGACACACATGTACTTGAGTATTTGAGTCAATTCATGATCTTTGTTTTTAATGATCCTTCTCCAAGTTGTCTGCAGCTCTTGTGCCAATCTGACCAGATGCTTCCATCAGAGGCTGACTGGGTTATTCACAGACAAATGCCAGCAACAGCCTGTGTGGTAGACTTATGGGTGAACAATAAGCAGATTATAATGTTGGAAAGGCTGTTTTGCCAAATCTGAAACTCTGGTGACCAGCCCACTATGGCTCAATTTACCAGCAGCAGCATGAGAACAAGCTGTTCAGTGTCTAAAAGAAACATTCCAAGTCGTCGGTAATGGTTTTTTGAAGTGGATTTTGAAGAATAAAATAAAAGCAGAAAGACTTACTGAACCATAGAGCTTCCCCTTCTTGTTCATGGCTAAGTAATAGTTGCTGTTAATGGCTTTAACAGCAACCACTCCAATTTCCACGGATGTTATCTCCAAGATGCCTAAAATACATCATTAGAAAAAAAAAAGTTAGAGGATCACATACATTTAGTTGACATTAAATAAAATAAAAAGAAAAAATGGCTGATTTTCATGGTTCTAAAAACAGAAGACTCCAAAAAACTGGAGTAATCAAACAAACATAGCTAGTACTTCTAATGTGAACCAAAGCCAAGCAAATATGTTCATCAACTGTTTGGAAACAAGACGTATGGTTTTATCATTCCTCTCCATTTTACTCTGAGCGTTTGTAGGAAAATATTGTTTTAATTATAAGGCTTCCTTTGCTAAGTCTACATCTTCAACCCCATAAATATTGAAACAACCCTCCTCATCTTAACCTAGATTTCACAAAACCTTATCAGAGCACACATCTGTACTATGGTATTAAATTAAATCTACAGCACATGCCAACAATATGTCAGATTTAGCTCAATCTGTATAAACAGTGGCAAACGATTTCTTCTTTGTAGAACACTTAGATAAACCAAATCTCTTACTCACATTTAACTGATAAATTCATTCTTTGGCAAATGTGTTGCTATTTTGAGACTCAGAGAGACAGAGTCCAATATCCAGAATGTCTTAAAAATTGCCACACTGCTGAGTTGGGAAGAAAACCCATCAACATTTTTTAAAGTTTTTTTTTTTTCTTGTCAAAATAGTGGAAAGCTGAAGAAATAAGAGCTGATATCAAGTAACCTTTGCATACGGTACATCTACAAATAGTTTTCTCAAAAATTCTAGGCAGCTATAAATAGTGCATTTGATATTCTATTTAAAGTTAACAATGCAACAAAAAATATTGCTACTTCTTCTACAACCTTCAGGCATTGAGAGTATGATGTTGTCTTTGGAATCAGAGTGGGATTTACCTTTGATCCTACATTTATTAGTGAAGGAAAAATCACCTATGGGAACTAACGGTGAGAAGAATCCTGTGACTCAAGTTCATTCACAAAACAGAAAACCTAGGGAGGCAAATCCTCCACCTGCTGAATGGGAATGCCATAGGGTTACCAGTTTGTATCCTGGCTGCTCCACTTCCCATCCAGCTCCCTCCTTATTACCTGGGAAAGCAATAGAAATGGTTCAAGTCCTCGAATCCCTGCACCCATGTCAGAGACCCAAAGGAAGTTCTTGGCTCCTTGCTTTGGACCAGCCTAACTCCAGCCTTCGTGGTCATTTGGAGAGTGAACCAGTCAGAGGATGGAAGATTCTCTCTCTGTCTCTCCTCTCTGTAAATCTTCCTTTCAAACAAAAATAAATACTTTTTAATAAAAGAAACATAATAGAATTTTCTGGTTATCTTCTTATGAAAATAAATCAGAAAATGCATATAAACGATTAGAGTTTATCTAAAGTTCAGTAGTTTATTGTTGTTACAGGGAACTTCTCTAATAACTGAGGATTTAAGAACTTCTTTAGTGGGCTACATAATGGAAAATAGAGCATAAAGTGGTACTTTAGTGTAACTTATCTTAAATTCACACAATAGCTCTCTGATGAAATAGTGCTATTCTCTATTACAGATTAAAAGGTTGATCTGGTGACTCAAGTCAATGCTGAGGGAACCAATGCCTGAACTTTTGGACTGCCTTTCTCTCCATCTCTATTTTGCTATTCAATTGTACCTTCCTTCTCTTTTCTAAATCCATGGGGTATGCTATTTGAAAGTCGTTTGACAAAAAATCAACAACACAGGCTTTCAATGATGGAGTGTTGTCTTCCTCCCATGGATGTTGGCATGCCACAGAGGATAATGCCTGGGAATCAGAAAACTAGATTTAAAATACTCTTCTGAAGTCACAAGCAGAAGGTAGGATTCTGGAGCCAAGTATTTCGGCTACTGTAAACTCTACCTATCCAACTGGGAAAGAGGTTCTATCACTAAGTTGCAAGGTGTTCCCTATGTGTGTTTTCAAAACTGGAAGTTAATGAAACAAACAGGATGAAAGACATTGGTAGCTAGAATACAGCAAAATTTCTGAAGATGAATGAGAAATAATGGATGGAGTCATAATAACAGACTTGGATTGGACCAGGGGAACACATAAGTATTGCCAAATCTGTACGCACTCTTTCTGAAAGTCCACCACACATGGTAGATCTTATTCAATGTATGTACCTTGAATTTTCTTCCGCTTTATCCAAAGTAGCAACTTAGCGTTCAAAGAATCAGTCAACCATTTTGTCTGCTTTGTGACTTCACGTGAGCTTAAAAGGTTTGTTATTGCATCAAAATGGAAAGAAAGTGTATGTAACTTTAAGGCTATGTTGAATTTTGAAAATTCACATGTATCGTATGTCATAAAATATAATTTAGTAATACTGTAGCTAATCAATAATGACTGCATTTATTTCAAATGTTGGTGCGTATGTGGATATGGCTGTGTAAGGGATGGAAACCTTGGGGATTCTTCCACTTAAAAATCTGCTATTTTTCCTATTTGGTGAAAGATGAGCGTGTATGCCTATAAATTTATTTTCGGAAAGGACCTCCATATTTTCCTTAAGATTTTCAGATCAGTAATCTTACAGTTCTGTATTTATGTACTTTCTAAAAAATGATCTATTTATTTGAAATGCGAAGTTACAGAGAGAATAGGAGAACCAGAGTCAAAGAGACACCTCACATGTGCTGGCTTACTCCCTAAGTGGCCATGATGGGCAGGACGAGGCTAGACCAAAGCTAGGAGCCTAGAACTCAATCTGGGTTTCTCACGTGTGTGGCAGTTTGCCTAAGCACTTGGCTGTCTTCCACTGCTTTCCCAGGAATGTTTGCAGGGAAATGAAGAGAAAGTGGAGCAGCCAGAACTCAAACTGATGCTCAGATGAGATGCTGGCACTATGAACAGCAGCTTCATCTGCTATACCATACACTGGTCCTTACATTTACAGACTTTATTACAGAATGGTTCATTGAAACAGCCTCCTAGAGGAAAAGCATGGGAAGAGTGTAGTGGATATTTTTGTGTCTCATAGAACTTATATAACTCTACCATTATCTGAAACTAAAACTTATAGCAATAGTAACACCTAGCAATTATATCATCAACAAAAGGAAATATAAATTGCATTTCTGATTTATTTAAGTCAGATGTTTTGTAAATTTGAAGATGTTCTTGTAGTGAAATTCTGTTATTTATATTAAATTGTAGCCATATAAGCTTTGGTGCTCCTCTGAAGAAAAATGTCCTTGGTGACATTATAAATCTATTTCAAGACCTCTGAATGGTCTAGTTAAATATTGAAGAAGATGTAGGAGGAAGGCAATCCTTAGAAAATGTAATTAGAAAGTTAAATAAATTGTATATCCTCCCCTGAAAAGCTTATCTCCTACTACAAATAAAATACAAATACAAAGGTAATTACAACATAATGTGAAAGTAAGTACTCAGATAAAACCAGAATTATGGAGCTAAGAGGAAGGCAGCTTATGTCAACTGGGGTCACAGGGCAGATTTCTCAATGATGACTGTAACTGTGTTTTGAAGGTATAGTAAGATGTGTGTGGAAAGTAAGTGTGGGAAGGCATGGACAAAATTGTTAAGGTGAAATAAGGTGAGACTTTCAGAAAAATCCTAATGGGTTGCTGCCGTGGTGGTGCAGCCAGTCAAGTTGTTGCTTGCTGAGCTGACCTCCCACATCGGAAAACCAGCTACTCTGCTTCCAATCCAGCATGCTACAGATACACCTGGGAAGGCAGTGGATAATGGTCCAAGTACTTGGGTCTGCCACTCCAGTGATGTAGCTGAGTGTGGTTCCTGGCCCTGATGAAGGATCGTGGCCATAGGCCATTCCTGCCATTTGGGTTGTGAACCTGAGATTTCTTTCTCTCTTCTTTCCTCTCCTTTTCCTTCTCTATTCTCTATTTCAATCAGTCTACTTTTAAAATAAATTCTTTAAAAACAAAAATCATACAGTTTTGTTTCACCCAGTACAGTTCAAGGAAAAAGCAGAAAATGGTGAAAAGTGCAGTTATGTCAGATTCAAGTTAGTCTAGAGTCTAAACATTTTAATAAAGGGAAGTATTTTACCTAAAATATGAAAGTGTTTAAGTAACTTTCAGTAAATTCTTTAAGTAAACGGTAGCAATCACTAAGGTTTGCTTAAGATCACATTTGAAAGTTTACATGGCAGGGTGTTATAATCAACATCAAAACATTGCAAATGTGATTGTCACAAAAATCAGCTCTTCTTAATTAAATGGGTCTTTGTAGGCAAGTATCATCAACATAGTAATTGGGAGGATTTTGCAGACTGATGAATTACAAATGGAAATAACCTAAAAGCCAATTTCCGCGTAAATCATCTTTTGAAAGGCATGAGAGGGTAGTTGCTAGGGCTGGTTATGTTTTGATGAATCACTGAGCAGTTCTTCTGAGGAGGTGGCCGTTTGTAAGATTCATTCTCAACTTGTACATCTCATCCTTCTCTAGGAGACAAAAACTCTTTTGAGTCAAGACAGATTCCTTCTGGCGGGCTAAGACAACAAACAAGTTATTGATCTAGCTGTAAAATTTTTTTTTAAATATTTTTCTTGCACGTCAGAGGGAAAACAAAGCAAATGCAACTTTCACATAATAGCATGGGTAGAGAAAGAAGGAAAGCTAGATGCAAACATGAATGCAAAATCTATTATCCTCTCCTAGATAAAGTAAACATCATGTATAAATAAGTTCTAGAAACGCAATAAACTGATTGGCTGCAGTGTAGTAGGCTTCCGTGTGTGCCGTTGATGTCAGCTCTCCTGATGGAGCATGGAAAGGCAGGCAATCGAAGAGTCTGAGCTAAGGTACAGACACAAATACAGTGAAAAATAAGACGTAAAACACATTGTGTTGGCTTTCAAGAGTAAAGAAGTTAGGTTAGAGACCTAGGCAGGGCTGAAGAAGACAATTGGTGGGAATTTGGGAAGCAAAGGGGTAGCATTTTTTAAGCAGTACAAGTTGATATGGAAAGACAAGGAAAGCAGCAACGGTTCGGCAGGCAGTTTGCT